CAGGCCGGGATGGGAACTACTTCTGGATCCGTCACTCGCTCACTTTATCCCATGATTGGCCTCAGTTTCCCCATCTGTTTAGAGAGGAAGTTAGCCCGTATGACTTCCAAGGTCTCCCCCAGCTCTGACCCCCTATGAACCAGAGCCAGAGGCCCCAGTGGACGGCATCCTTGTCTTATCCCTTCCTGGTACAGATGGGGGAATGAGGCCCAGGGACATAAGATAGTGTGCAGCCTTCCTATTTACTTCTCAGGTTGGTTTTATTTTTCTTCCCTGAGTACTTGCCACCTGGGGGCTAGGGTTTCACAAACTGACCCAGAAAGTACGGCTTTTCCAACTGCTGCCGATACTCCAGGCCCAGGGAGTGAGAGCTGAGGGGGGACGGCTGCCAGTGGTGCTTGAGCACCAAAGGGGACTTTCAGCAAAGGCAACGCTTAAGCAGCATCTGGGGTGGAAAGGGGTCCACACTGGGGAAGAAGCCCGACTTCAGGAAAGACATTCCAGTGGAGGCGCGTGGCCGGCTGGAGGACAGCACGAGGTTCAGGGCAGGTGGGGTCAGCATGCCGCTCAGGGCTCCGTCACTGTCCTCCAACATGGCAGTTAGTGGGGTGTGCGTCTCCCCCTCACACGCAGCTCCTTAGGCGAGGGCCCGGGTCTTACTCTTCTCTGGCCCATCCCCTCCCTGGGGTGGGGGTCAGGTTATGGGTGGAGCAATGGCTCCTAGAGGAATGGCTGCATGTTACATGCTCTGCTCTGAAGACAAGCAGCTGAGTCTTGGCATTCCTCTTGGCTACGGACAGATGGCATGGCTGCCACTGCCAACCCATGGCATTGCCAGCTTCAGGCGGGTGTGTCACGGGGCAGGCCCACAGTCCCACCTCTCCTCCCTCTGTTCTTCCCCGACCCCGTGGACTCCAGGTGTTCCAGAAAGTGGCCGCTGAGAAGAAGGGCAAGGTGCAGGTCTTCTTCTGTGGCTCCCCAGCCCTGGCCAAGGTGCTCAGGGTCCACTGTGAGCAGTTCGGCTTCAGATTCTTCCAAGAGAACTTCTAGCCCCGCCTCTCTGAGCTCCGCCCACCCCACCAGCCAGTGGGTCGCCTTGCACAGTGCCCCTGAGGGGCCAGCCTCGGACAGCCACACGCAGAGCGGGAGGCCCCACGGGCAGGTGGACTTCCTTCATGAGGGGGTGGGATGGGAGGTTTCCAGGGCAACTGCTCCTCCAAAGTACAACAGGGGTCCTTCCTGGACCTGCCTAATGATCACAATCCTTCAGCAAATTTCTCCCCCACCATTTTATTATGAAATTTTTCAAATATACAGAAAATTAAGGGAATTGTACAGTGAACAGTGTTATCTACTTTCTAGCTTCCTCAGATAACATTTTGCTATATTTGCTTTATGACATATTATCCATCTATCGCTTCCTCTATCCACCCATCAATGTACCTTACTTTTCGGATGCATTTCAAAGCACACTTTGCCACTCAGAGGACATTTCTTTAAATGTAGATTCCTGGGTCCTACTCCCAGATATTCTGATTCTGAAGATCTGGGGATGAGACCTGGAATGTGTATTTTATCCAAAATTTATGCCTGTAGGGAGAGATAAGCAGCATCTTTTTTTAACCTTTCTCTCTGTCACTGTCTTCCCATCATCTCTCTGTGCCCCTTGTTCGTTCTCTCTCTCTCTCTCTCTCTCTCTCTCTCTCTCTCTCTCTCTCTCTCTTCCCCCCTCATTGCTCTGCATGTGGGTCTCTCCCTTCTCTCCAAGCACTGAGTCATTAGAGAAATGGGATGGAGATGGTGCCCGTGTGTCTGCGGGGTCACAGAAAGGCCATGTGCTGGAGATCAAGCAGGTTGTGACCTGAAGCTGAGTTCAGCCACAGCCCAGCTGTGCAGCCCTGGCAACCTCTCTGAGTCTGTTTCTTCATCTGAAAAATGGGACTGATGACATCGCCCAGTCACAACTGCAAGTGAAATGAGACACCACCGTCAGCGCTCAGGACATTGGCCTTCCATCCCTGTGGGTCCTTATCGCTCCGGACGTCGTCGTCTCTGCATCTTCAGGCTGTGTTGCGGCTCCTTCTCCCACCGCGTTCCAGCCTCTGCTTGCATCTGTTCCTGTCTGGGCGGGAGTGGATGTCACAGACAGCAGATGCAAAAGCTCTTCTAGGGGGCACTTTGGGGAGGAGACGCCCTGGGCTTCGGGCAGGAGTGGGAGGGCTGGCCTCACCTCCTCGGATCGGAGCTGCCCCGCACTGCAAACCCCTGGGAACACGCGGTTCCTGGGCACCCTCCACCTTGTAGCTGGTCTCGCCAGGTCCTGTCTTTTCTGTGACAGACTAACACACTCATCCCCCAAACTGCCTTCATGGGGTTGGGATCAGGCACTTTCCAATGGGGTGTAGATTGTGCCTTTCTTTTCCACGGGTTGGGTTGGAGGACAACAGGAAAAGCATTGAGGTTCTAAAATCCACACGTTTGACTTGGGACCAAGTGTGCTGGAAGGCTTTCTCTCTAGATATATTCCAGTTGCCCACTGGGGGGCGATGCAGAACCAGGGATCCCAGGAGGAGTTGTTTGCTGGGAAGGAGCCTGCTTCCTGCGCGGCAGTGCATCAAAGGCAGGCAGAGAAGACCGCCCCTCACTCCAAAGCTCCCGGCTGGAGACAGCACCTCCAGGCCCAGTCTCAGGCGGAACTGCGCTGTCACGAGAGTTCAGTTTCAAGGTCAGAGTTTCTCTAGCTGCCAGCTCCTCATCCCAACACACAAATGCATGCACACAAATGCATGCACACGCACAAACCTGCTCACACACACACACACACACACACACACACCTCCCTTGCCCACACCCAGTGACCAGGTTCTGGCCTTCCCTCTTTCCCATCTGCACGTCAGGACAGGCCTGGCTGGGGAGAGTTGTAGGCCCAGGCTCTGCCATTTCAAATATGTGGTGTACAGATGACACCGTCTGTCCAACTGGATGGTTCCCAGATGTCCAGATGGTGCTGTCCAGATGGTGCCATCCTACTGTCAGCAAGAAACAAATGCATCCGTATGGCTTGCTGACTTTTCTCCTTTCACCCAGATGTTGGCAATGCTGTAGACACATCTGGGCCCAAGATGGCTAAGGCTGACACACACTGGCTAACTGCAGACACAGGTGTGTGCTGTGAGTCCCCCGGGGTCAGGCCTGTGGCCCCAGGATCTAGCACAGAGGGAGGGGCAATAGGCCTAATGCAGACATCGGTTCCCACCAGGCCGAGGGGTTGCTTAAATGGAATTACCTTTGGGAAGGGTCCTCTGCATACAACTGCCAGGTGTAATCTGGGAACAAAGGTGCAAACACAGCTCCCTGAATGAATGTCTTTGCCAGGTTCCAGGACGCCGGTCTGCTGCCAGGACAGCTCTGACAGACACAGCAGGCATTAGTGAAACAAACAGGCAGGTCCCCGGACAAGCAGCACAAGTGTAGCCTATGAATACACTGAGAACCTACAGCATTCCTGGGAGGGGAGGGTGACATGGGCAATAGTGACAAGTGTCATCACCTTACAGACCAGGCTGAGGTTAGGAAGGGATTAGAGACACCAGCCGAGACTGGCTGTGGGCAAACGCCTTGGAGATGTACAGCGGAAAGCTCTTTGCCCTCTGAAGGCAGGGCACCGGGCTCCACATACGCCTCTGCCCCAGTCAGCTGTGTGACCTTGGATATGCCTGTGACCTCTCTGAGCTCTCACTTCCTCATCCATACAATGAACAGATGAAGGACATGTGTGTTTACATGCTAGTATATGCATAATCATTTCTTAAAAGATACACAAAAATATGTTCATTTTAGGAATTGGAGGGACAGGAAGAAAATAGTTTTTTTGTTTGTTTTTGGTTCTTATTTTACTTTTATTTTCTTCCTCTCTTTAAAGTTTGAAGTTTTTATAATAAACATGTATTAGTTTTATACTTTTATTTTTAAAAGAAACCCAAAATAGAATGTTAGGTTAAAAAAAGTACCCAACGTTGCTATGATCCTATTCATGTAACAAAATATAAACTGTATGCGTATTGTGCACGGGATAAATAGGTAGAAATGCGTTGGAAGAGAGTGAAAAGGAGACACATCAAATAGTTCATGGTAGTCAACGGTGGAGGCGGTAAAGGAGGACTTTAGCGTTTTTCTCTTTTCTATTTCATATACATGTACTTCCCATGTAATGTTTCATGGTATAGAATTTTTACACCATGCACTTCATGTATTACTCATGTGATATTTTACTCTTTTATCTGTGTACTTAGGCTATGGCCTGTGTACCTTTTTAAAAAGAATAAAACAAAATGGAGAGATTGTCTGAGGTGTCGTCTAAAGTTCCCTCATATTCATTAGTTCTCAAATGAAAGTGTTTCAGACACATCTGGGGCCGTGGGTCTGCCCCCTCCAGCTGGGGGCCTCTTCTGAAATGTGAGGCTGCCACAGCGCCCTACTCACTGTACAAAGCAGCCCGCGTTCGAAGGTCTAAATATTAAAACAAAGGCCCCTTCCAAGCCTGAGTCTGGTCCAGACGCGGGGGCCATCGGCATTCAGGCCGGGGCCAAGCACCTGCCCAGCCTCACAGTGCAGCCGCCTCAGGGCACACTCTCTCTGCTAAACAAATACTCATAGTAACCAGCCTTCCTGACAGATTGATGCATCTTTTTACAATCTGTCTTTACCATATGATGACTCTCTCCTTTTGAAAATAAGATGAATTCAGACAAGACATTTATTTATGGGGAAATCCATCCGGGGGTAGAGGGAGGAATACCCAATTCCAGCAGAGGTGGCTGGAAGGAGACTTGCTTCTCAAGGAAGTTTCCAGCCTCCTAACCTTAGCCAGGCAACCAATGGGCTGCCTGCCCTACTCCTACTCCTGGACAAATGGGGCCATCTTGAATCATCCCAATGTGATGGGAGAAAAGGGTGCATTTTTTGGTAAAAAGAAAAAAGCTCTGAGACTCACCCCAACTTGGCTGGATGAGCTTATATATACACATGAAGCTTGCCTTTAACCCCGAAGAAGCTTCAAGGGAAATTAATTATTTGTTTCTGCGTCTCTGTGACTAGAATAGTGCTACTACCCCGTAGGCGCTTGGCAGTGTTTCACGACTGTTTCTGCGCCCATGAGCCTGTTCAGCTGGTGGCACAGGAGGTACCCTTGCCTCCTCTACTCCCCCATTCTCCTCCCACAGTCAGTCACCAAGCCCCCTCAATGGGACATTCTACCTGCTTCTCAAATACAGTCTCCTTCCTATGGGCCCTGCCTTGGTTGGGTCCATAACTTGCCTTTTGCCTGGACTATTGCATCCACCTCCTGACCGGTCTTCCTTTCCCAGCCTCTTTCAGCTCCAATCCACCCTCCACACCGATGATCACACACTTCCTGTTGGCTGACTGTCCCATTGCTGTCGTCCAACCCCTGAGGCTGGCCCACGGCCTCCCCCACACAAACACTCCATTAAGATCTGCTGTTACTTATTATTCAAACCACTATTCTCCCCGGTGTCTACCCCTTGTGTCCTGCCCACGTCCCTCTCACTCTCCAGGCTCTAAAATACCATATAGCATAGAGTTCCCCATGCAGGCCATACGTCCCAGCCGTCGCTCTGCCCAGCCTGGCATTTGGAGCACCCTTCCCACCTGCAGATTGAGATTTCAGAACATTCTATCATTGACCCATCTGTGAAGACTTCCTTGCAGGCCATTCTCTTCACAGAATAAACTGTCTCCCCCAGGACTGCATGGGACCCCCTTTGGAGCGAGAGCATCTGCCGCAGGTATTGTATTTACCCAGTTACTTGGCGATGAACTTCTTGAGAGCAGGACCAGTGTCTATTCGTCTCAGTCTCCCCAGTGTCTGGCACGTAGAAGGCGATCAATGAAAGCGTTGGTGAGCTGACATGACTCACTTAAACCCCATCTCACCTTCCCTCCCCGACCTTCTCTGCTTCTCCCTTTCAAGGAGAAAATGCCAGCATCCTGCAGGCAGGCAGGACCAGCTTTACCCGTGACAGAGTGAGCCAAGGTGTAACCTCAGGGACCCTAGGACGAGTCCTGCCTCCCCCGACCTCCCATACCTCCCACACTCGCTTTTCTTCCTTGAGCAGAGGTCGGATTTAATGTAGAGCTGCTAGTGGCTGAGGTGCAGTCGGTCTGCCGCGCTCTCTGTGAAATGAGGAGGTGGGGCTCACGGTTCCTGTACCCCTGTGACACCTCTTTCTCCTCTTCCTCATTCCTCTTTCTCAAACTCATAAGAGATGAATGACTTAGAAAGAGCAAATGAATCAGAAATAGGGAAAGCAAAAATAGAGAGTAATTTTGCCAAGTTATTATTCAAAGGAGCTCTCTGGGACCCAGAGCAAGAGCAGCCCCATCAATCACCCCACAGAGCTCTGGGGGCAGGCGGGTGGGAGCGGCCAGGCGCTGTCTGCAGACAGCTCTGTGCGTGAGAGACAGGCCAGGAGCCTGGGGCCCTCTGCCAGCCACCGTGCAGAGAGGGAGGGAGGGAAGCGGGAGACAGTGAAAGGGGACAGTCAGCCCAAAGGCCGGGGGCAAGGCTCTCTGACCTGCTTTCT